TGATCAAAAATTAGCCAGAATTATGACATTTTTAGGTAAAATTGCATGACATTTTTAAAGCTTGTCCAATGGTGCACAGTTTTCATTCTTTCAATTGATAAATTTGGTCCTTTTTAATTCTAAATGATTGATGGTAACCCACAACTTAATATTAAACACAATGTTTGTGCATCGCCAACTTTGTATCATTTTGACATGCCCGCTAAAAATACCATCACTCTGTAACATTTGGTGTCAGCAAATCCTGTTACAGAGTGAACTTTACCATTGATTATAATATTTGTAGAAACTGTCAACTATTCTAAATTTTAAGTGATTATTGAAGTCTTTCATTAAATAAAGAGACTAAAGAAGACCAAAAGTGAAATTCAAAGAAGTACAAGAAATATACCAATTTTAAATATTGGCAGATCAATTTGGTGTCATCAAAAAACATTACAGTGTGATACTTTGCAGTTGCACTCTGAATTTGTCAAACTGTTTTTGTCAACAAGTTTAACTAAAAATATATCCTGGAGATTGGCTTGGAATATAGATGTCATTACATTTTGAATCCTTCTCTTAGAATTTGAAATAAGAGGCAATACATTTTTGGTGTCAACACTGACTCCGTTACAGGTGAAATACCTCTTTTCAGCTGAAACAATGAAGCAAAAGCACCTGTTTGATTGATGATTGAGTTTTTAGCTAAAATAATGACTAAGTTTTTTAATACAATGAAAACTTTGGCATAGGACAGGTTAAAGTAGAACTACAGTGAAGAAAAGTGATAAAAGTGTTTTTGGTGTTGGTGTCAGCGTTACAGGTGAAATGATTATTATAACAAACTAAACTTCCAGTCTCAGAAACAAGTATCTGATGTAGAAACCATCAAGCTTATCACTAAATAGAAAGGTTTAAATGGTTTGATACCATTTATTACTATTATTATTAGTTAGTTGTAGGATTGTCACTCAGTAACAGTGACTATTTGGTGTCAGCGTTACAGGTGAAATGCTGGTTAACACCAGGCTTTACTTACAATAACATGCTTTCTAGTGGTGTTTGTAAATCTTCATTGCTCTTCGTAGTTGCAGTTTTGGCTGTCAAACTTGCTTTTAGAGAACAAGTGAGTGTTTGTCTTATAATAATATAATTTTATGTCAAGTGAGAGCTACATTTTTGTAATCCTCATAATATGTCAAATTTCCTAAAACTTGATATTTGATTTTCAACAAATGTTTTTTTTTAACTTATACATTGTATGTGTTGCAAATAATTGCTTAAAAAGCAACATGTCTTTACCATACCTGAACAATAACCTGGTGAGAGCTCTAAAAGAAATTAACAATTTGGTGTCACTGTTACAGGTGAAATTTGTGTCCCATATGCTAGTTTATCATGTTGCTACTCTAAAAAAGGTTATGTTACAGAAAAATGGTTTTGTTTTTGACAAAATATAGACCCTAGACTACAAAACCATGTGAAGCTGAATTTAATTTGGTTATTTTGAAAATTTGACCCTAATGTCACACACTGGCCACAACATTTATGTAAACACCCATATACCTATTACCTAACAAACCAAATACAAAAAGAATTTTGCATGGTGCGTTCATGAGATATGGCTTAAAGGTCCAAAAATACAAATATTCATATAAAATTGCATGATGACGTCATCATGACGTCACCTCATTTTTTTTTTATCTATAACACATCCCGGTCTACCCACATACCAAGTTTCAACCCAATCGGACTTACAGTTCTGTAGATATAGGACTTCAAAATATACACGTTTGTGATGACGTCACGTGATCCCTGATGACGTAATCATGACGTCACTCTTCGAGGCACAACTTTGCCATAAGGACAATGCATATGCTTAATTTGAATGATGTATGACAAAGTTCAATGCCAAAAGTGGTGGGTACAAAATTCGTGTACAAAGTCTAAGGGGTTTTGCGTGAAACAAAAAGAAGAAAGAAACTAGAGATCTATGTCTGTTTGCAACAGAACATAGGGCTTTTCCGCATTTTGACTTTTGTTTTATCAATAATATGTCCCTGACTATGCTTGAACATAAAATCTGTCAAAGTTAGCCAAAAATTTGCGTGCGTGCCACGCTCTACACAATACAGTGCAGTCACTGCCTTGTCATGAAACAGTCGTAGGTGCATCCCCCGATCTACATGCAGAGTTTGTATATCGACGCAGGTCACGGTCGTGTCCCCTGCGCTTCGCGTACATATTTGTATACATGTACATCCATAGACCAAATGTTAGATCACAGCCATAAACGTTATTGAATGATCGCTGTACGATGTCTGTGCTATAGTGGTTGAATTTCATGGATTTGCAACCCCAAAAATCAAGCAAAATAGTTGACAAAAATACCTTTGAAAGCACCTACTGGCTTCTCCACATGTCAAAGACAAAGTAGTGGGGCTTCAATGATACGATAATTTTTTGGGTCGCAAATTTGTGAAATTCAACCACTATAGCACAGACATCACACAGCGATTAATTCATTAACATGAATGGCTGCGATCTACCAGTACATTGTCTATGGACGTACATACTACACGTACGCGAATGCAGCGACTTGCGTGCTCACGGTACATTGCGTGGTGATCGACATCATTATTTTCGTGATTGCGTTTTGTCGTCGTCATCGTCATTTTACCCCAAAATTTCCCTTTAAAATTCAATACCCTGCCCTTTATCTATGACATACTTATATGTTCTTAATGTCACCAACTAGTTTGGTATGTCAAATAATTTAAAAGAGGATTTTGTTCCCTTATAGGAACTGGGCCCCTAGATACACGATCGCCCAAAAATGTATAGTGGTGTTCCCTAACGTGGCGCACTTTGACTTTTCCCCCTACTTTCCTCATGCAGTTTTGCCACAACCTCTTCGTAGAAAAACTTCAAATTTATTCAGTTAAATAATGGTACTATTACCTTAATAATACTTGCTGTTGAACCTTTGTGAACAATTTTATTGTCTTGAAATTAAGTCCGACATTCAAAAGTGGTGGCGCCCGGAAATTGGGCACAAATTCGGCCGAGCGTTCCCTAACGTGGCGCACTTGAACAAATCTCGGAAAATCCCACATTAATGTCTAAGAATTTCTTTAAAGTTGATAAATTCTGATAAATCATTATTATCTTCACTCACTTACGCAACTGCAAGTTTGTCAGAAAATATATTTCTTATTTTGGGCAGGGATGTGATTTCTCCGTTTTTTTCCCTGGAAATCCATTTTTTGTTTAGCCTCAAAAGTCAACCCACGTGAATCTTGTGAATGTACTAATTAATTATGCCGAAATTTACTTATAACTTACTAATTTGCGATGTACATGTATGTATAGTAATTAGTATTCGGCCGGACGTGAGTTCACTTGTCTTCAGGACCAGACTAAGTTTTTTCTTCAATGGCATTTGCACCTCGTGTGTAGGGCTGCGAGATTCATGTACATGTGCTTTTTGCATTCCCTCGCATGCAATTGTCCTTGCTTGAGAATGAGGTTTAAGCAGACTGGAGACAGGATCCCAGCTTTGTGCATGTACAAAGCCACTTGGCTACGACCTGAAATTACACATGAGTCTATGGGAAGTGGCTGCAGCCACTTCAATAGACTCGTGTGTAATTGCAAGCCGTAGCGTTCCCCCCGCGCCGCCGGTCCTAGCCCTGCAAGTATCAATCACTAATGCACTTTGAGACTAACGGAGCATGCGCGTGTTGCGGTCGTTCTCGTGTGTGTGGGGGTGTTGGTTTTTGTGTGCATACGGTTTACATTGTGGTGTGTGTACGTACGTTGTATGCTGGTCTCAATACGAGCGCAGGGCTTCATGTAGTCTAGTTCCTACAAACGTATAGGTCCTAATATGGTGTACATACGGTAGTTCACTTGTCTGAGGACCAGACGAAAATATTTTCAATGACAAATGCACCTCGTGTACAACCTCGTCCCCAGTGCTTACTTTATTTCCAACCTCGTTTCCAATAATAAGCTCTGGATAGGAAACTTTCCTCCTGTATCCTGATTCGATACCGCAATTGGCTAGAAATTGATTTATATCGTGTACTTGGTGTTGTTATTCACAACGTGCAGTACGTGTTTTCGCAATCATTTGTCCACGCCTTCTTTAAAATATTCATTTCCTTTCCAATTTGTTCATACTAATATGAAATGTGATACTGCATGTTGTCTCGTTATTCGTAACAGTTTAGTTAAAATAAAATCGTGTTTTCATAACTCATGCCATGCTCGCGCTACGACGAATTGATTCAGTTTACAAAAACAAATGCAAATGTAACACACAGGCAGGCACCAGACTATTCCTCATTTGCATACGTGTTCAAAAATCTTGCACATGCAAATGGTCCAATACCAGGGTGAGAGAGCAGGTAGTGGTGGGCGCGTACTGCTCGACACCCTGGGGACGAGGTTGCCTCGTATACATTTTGGTGTGTGTGCAGCTGCACCCGATTTCATGAAACTCATCGTAACTTACGATGCATCGCAGCGCTGCGACGCGTCGTATCCCTACGATGTGTCTCAGGTGCGACGCGTCATATCCTGCGACGCGTCCTGCGATCCATTTCACAAAACACGTACGTGCGACGCATCGTACCGGTATGTGTATTTATAGCACAACTCGGTGACTGTTTTATGTATTTAGTCAGCGTACAGTAAATAGTCGTCTGATATTCAACAAAGAGTCGACGGATCTCCGCTCGAAATTTGTTAAAACGTAGACAAAATGGCGGCCGTGCAATGCAATTATAAAGGAAAACATGTCTACTAGGCTGGATAGCCTTCTTTCACTCAACTTGGCTCATTGCCAGATTGTAGACATTTTAGGTCATTGTTGATGTTGTCCATCCACCTTTTATATGGATGGCCGTGTGGACAGTTGTAAACGATCTGCTTGTGCAGTGTTAACAAGGCAAACAAATTCCATTTGGAACACCATTTCATTTGTTGTTCATTTTGCTTTACGCACTGGACAGATCCAAGTACAATTGAGAAAACCATCGGTATGAAGAAATCAGCAAGTGCTACTCGATTATCAGAGGCCCCAGAGCTTAGGCAGAGTGATACAAGCAACAGCTTAAGGACTACCAAGACACAGGTACCCTCCAAAAGGAAACTGACATTGAGTAATGCTACCATGAAAGCTGCTGGTACCAAGGATGATGATCAACATAAAGGTATCTGGTCAACGTAAAGCGGACTCACTATTTAGTCAAGCAAAATCATCATTTCATAAAATAAGAAGTGAGGGGGGGGGGCAGTGGCGTATCCAGGATTTTATTGGTGAAGCCATAGGTTTATGGGAATTAAAGGGAAAATACAACATTTGCAAACATCAAAAAATAAAACTAACGAATCATTTGAAATACCTTGCTGGACTGTTAGTGAATGACAGTGTAAAGCATCCTGTAAAATCATGGCACCTGGTATACTGTCATTTTCAAGAAAAGTGGTATTTTTGTATCAATTTCCAACGCTGATCGGCCGACCAGCGTTGGAAAAAACTGGCTTTTTTTTCAAATACTGGCCCCAATTGACCATCGCGCTTGTTTGCAATCGATTACACACCTATGAACGGGTACAAGCCAGCTAGACTGGTTCCCTGACCTTACAATTCCCCAATATATGTAAACTGCTCTGTTTCTTCTTAAATGGAGTCAGGGAACCAGACTACATGAAAATGATTGTTTTTCTTGGTTTTTATAGCATTTTCGAACCCAAAACCTCAAAAAAGTCAGTGTAACTATATTTGCTATATATTTCCAACCCCCCAATTCCATCCATTTCTGAAAATTACAGCAAAAGCAAATGATGTATATTCCCTTTAAGGGGATTTACAATAAAAAAAAAAATTGTCATGTACATTCCTACGTTAGCAAGTGGCAACATTTTGTGTGTGTGGAGGGGGGACCTGGGGGAAGTGGGGGGGGGGGAGGTACTGGGGTACTTTGCTATGCCACTGATGGAGGGCCACAGCATATCTCTGTCAAGTTTGAGGTTTATTTGAAATTGAAAAGGAGAATTGTTTTGACACCTTGCACAAGAGTGAAACCACCAAGTTTAGCGAAAGAAAGGGTGCGGACTTTTGACACTGAATGGTGCTGTTCTTAAAAGACTTCTTAGTAATACCCATATGCACACACTTTGGGATATCAGGGAATGTTTCATGATGTTGTGGCATTGCCAAGTTATACTTGTGAATTTTTATAGCGTATTAAAAAGGAGTAGCTCCCCTTAGAACAAAAAATCATTTTAGTTTTACTTAAGATTCCCCCCCCCCCACTTTTTTTGTAGGTAGTGTGTCCCCCTGTTTGTTTACTTGAGCCCACGATTCCCCCTATATACATGTAAGTAGCCACATGGTTGGTAATGACACATTGAGTTTTAGTTCAGCAGACCAGCAAAGAGACAAGTTAACATTTGATCTTTTATTTTACTCCTACCAGGAGAGTGTTTCCCTGCTTGGGTTTGTCTGCTAGGCCAGTCATTGGTTTTAGTTCATTTCTGTGCTTTTAGAGTAACTTTTCACTAGTGCTGTGTGGGGTTTATTTTTGGTTTTTTTATTATTTTTTTCTTGGATTTTGATCCAGATTGACATTTGTTTTGGAAGTATTTGAGAAACCTAATTTTCTGAAGGTTAGAGATATTGTTTTTTTTTTAATCAGTTTGAGTTAAATATTGGAGAAGGCTATTTTGTTTCGGCAACCAGCTGAAACAGCCTATGTTTTCGTTAAAGTTTTTTTTCTTTTTTCCCCCCCATTCTTTTTCAGCCATTCCCCATAGCATTTGTACGTGTACATTGTACATGTTTTCATCGTAGAAGTCACTTTGGGCACTAAAATTAATCCGATTGACTTTATACTCGGCACACACTTAGGCCAGCATCTGAAAATATGTGCCTAACATTGACGTCATCATGACGTCATCACGTGATTAATCCGATTGACTTTATACTCGGCACACACTTAGGCCAGCATCTGAAAATGTGTGCCTAATATTGACGTCGTCATGACGTCATCACGTGACCCGTGACGTCACAATATAGGTGCATATTTTAAAGGCCAATATCTAAAGAACTACAGGTCTGATTTGATTGAAACTTGTTATGTACCTCAACTGGGACGTGTTATGTATGAAAATTTAAGTCACGTCATGATGATGTCATCACGTGACTTGTGACGTCATTACGGGGCATGTGACATCATATTAAAAGAGCATATTTTGAAGGCCAATATCTACAAAACTACAGGTGTGATTGGGTTCAACCTAGGCCTAGATGTGTTATAGATGAAAATTGAAGTGGCATCATGATGACATCATCACATGACATATGATGGCATATTAAAAGTGCATATTTTGCATATATCTACAGAATTGTATTGGTCCTGATCACTCTACCGCACATGCTGTCCTATCAGTCTTACATGACATTTAAACATACAAAAACAAATTACCGAAACAGCCGTACCGGTATGTTTGTACGCAAACATAAGTAAATCTAGTTTATTTTGTTTGTTTTTTTTCCTTGGATTTTGATCCAGATTGAGATTTGTTTTGGAAGTATTTGAAAAATCTAATTTTCTGAAGGTTAGAGAAAATTTAATTCAACCTGATTAAAAAAAACAACCAATATGTCACATATTTTTTTAATTTTTTTATCAGGTTGAATTAAATTTTTGAGAAGTCTTTTTTGTTTCCTTGATTCCTTTTCTTCTTTGTCCCAGTTTAAAAACTAAATCGCGACTTGGTAATTTTGAACCAGGATTTTCTAGTGAGCCATTTTTCGCTGTTACATTTGCATGGTTTTTTTTCTCATGCCATCTTTAAAATGTTGGCTCCTGACATCACAAAAAAACATACTCAAAAAAATACTTTCAATCTACCGGTATATACTAAATAATTTACTATTGCAATCGTACTGATGATCGGATTACAAGCCTAGGTCTGGTGAAGATTTCCACGGATTCGTCAGAGCTAGAGGAGTTACCGTCGTCACCATCAGCCGATTCTTCTATAGCAGAACTTGAGCTGGAGTCCAATATCTGCTCTCGTTGCTGGGCCACATTGATGGATGAGGAATCATCATCGTCATACTGAAACGGAGGCCAGAAGTACTGGTCTCTCACCATCTTCAGCACTTGTCCATGGCTAAGTGTCTCCATGCTCCGATGTAGAGTTGTGAAAACCTTCTCTCTCGTTCCTCTGGGAAGTACTGTACCACTTGATGTCCTCTTCTGAAGAGCAGAAAACCATCTCTGACCTCTTGGTGCTCCCATGCTTGTAACAGCCGCTGCACTGCCTTGGGCTGCAGGGCCATCCTGCTACGTCTTATTCACTTGGAACTTGCCAGCTTGGGCTCCAATACCTTCCTTTTGGCTGGTCACTCTGCTGGGCTTCACGTAGGCTCTGGTCGCATGTTGTGCCTCAATCCCCATGGCTTGACTGGCCACTTGTCGGGGAAAAGGCAGGGTGTTACAACTGATAATGTAGTAACCAACGGATAATGTATCACCAACCGATAATGTCACACAAATTGACCGATACTATATGACTGACCGATAATGAAACAACAATCGACTGATAGTGTAGTACCATTTACTACACTATCGGTAAATTGTTGTTACATTATCGGTCAGTCATACAGTATCGGTCAACTTGTGTGAAATTATCAATTGGTGATACATTATCCGTTGGTTACTACATTATCAGTTGTAACACCAGACTGCATCTGCTAGGCGTTTAGAGGGGATATCATCAAATTTAGGCTTTTACAAATCTTGGGCTCTGGCTCGTTGATGGGGACTGGGGACATGGGGATATCCGGAACTTAGTATGGGATGGGGACATCTGGAACTGGCCATTACTAGTGCAGGGATCACTCTAGACTCCAAATGTAGTGCTTCTGTTGTTGCTGCTTGCAGATAACTTGGTGGATCACTGATTTCAATGTGTTTATTTGTCGAAACTGCTGTATAATCACTTGCTGTATAATCACTTGCTGCATCTATATTTGATGTTGCAGCAGCTGTAAGATGCTCAACTGCGGTTCAGCTAACGGAACTTGGTCGACATGGTCACAGCTGGTGGGTAGTGGGTCAAACCTACACAGTTGAAGTGGAGTCCGGACCTTCACCATGGTGTTTCAGTCATCCTGCACTCCTCAAGTTCAATAACCAAAAAGCACTGTGGGTTTCCATTTATAAAAAAGTACTTTTGGAGAAGAAAAAAATGTGTCCCAGCCAAAAAAAACCATAAATGGCTTGATCCCTAAAGAAAAGTAATCATCCCGGGTCTCGACACCAAAAATAATAAAAAAATATGTAAATGTAACGGCAAAAAGTGGCGCACTAGAAAAATCCTGGTTCAAAATGATGCAGTCGTGATTTAGTTTTTAAACTGGGACAAAGAAGAAAAAGAAACTAGGAAACAAAACAGACTTCTCAAATATTTAACTCAACCTGATAAAAAAAAAATCAATATCTCTAACCTTCAGAAAATTAAGTTTCTCAAATACTTTGTTGATGCAGATGAATCACCGTTAGACAGTCACAGCGCCTTTAAGCAGTATTTAGTGGAGGACAGAATACCTGCCTCGAACAAACGAACGTCATGCTGTAGCAACCACATTTTCGCATGAAACTTGCGACCTTTTTGGAAGATTAAGCCAGAATTATCAATTTCTGCGAATCCTACAAGGAGGTAAATGATATATTCTCTTTTGTGTATTGAGATTGCAGAATGGATTTTCTTGCATTTTAGAGACATTTTCACCAGATGTTTTGCCACACTTTGGATTTGGATATTTGCATTCATGTACATGTATTCACCTCGTGACCTAACAAATACTTATGTGAATCTATCTGCATTTTATTTGTTTGTACTAGTTTTCACGGAGCAAAGAATGATGATTATGGATTAAAGGCTTCTGTCAAGACCCCTTGCGAACTCTAGCAGCTGTACTTTAAAGAAGTCTACTTTATTGCGTCAACTTTGCGTTAAACCTTGAGATTGCGAGTACAGCTTGTTATAACTTCCAAAACAAATCTCAATCTGGATCAAAATCCAAGATTAAAATAATAAAAAAGCCAAAATAAAACCCACACAGCACTAGTGGAAAGTGACTCTAAAAGCACAGAAATGAACTAAAAACCAATGACTGGCCTAGGAGACAAACCCA